TTAAATTCTATTGCTCTACTTATAACTGCCACATCAATTACACTTAAAGAAACAACGGACCTCCCATATATACAGGTTTGCTTCGTGTTTATAGTATGTTACTTTCTTATAGTCGCTTGCTTATCGTACCTTCTACTTTTTCTTTACACCGCATGTTGTACTGTTCTTTTCCACCGTATACTCTATTATTTGTCTTGTACTACACACTCTACTGTTATTCTATATACTGTACAGCTGTTGCATGCCCTACTACTTTCATATATACTGCTTTTCTTCGTCATACATGCTACTGTTTCTCTTGCACATCATACCTTAGTATAGGCGGATAGTAGTTGGTTTTAAAAGGGGTACCCGGTAGCAGATCGTTGACTCAATAATTGCATGCACGTCGAACTCGAAGGTGCTACGACAAGGAGCTTGGAGCTAGCGTTGTGGGTAGTACGACCATCTTCAACAGCAGAACACGTCTACACCAGCTAAACCCTTCCTTAGAAATTAAAACACAAAGTCATAGGATTTCAAGGTTGCTTGCTTAGTGCAATATAAGTCCTCAACCTTTCTTTAGGCATTTGTACAACTCTACTGTGCAATCTAAGTCTTAATTTATTTTAGGATTCCGAGGTTATCGTTCGTCACGATATAAATCCTCATATATTCCAGACTATTCTTGTGATCGTCTCACATAAATGTAAGCCTAATTAAATAAAATTTACAGGATCAAACACTTAAATATTTATCCTTAAAACTGAAGCCAAACCAGATGGTAGATTGGGAAGTCGCTGAGGTCCACCTTCGGATTTGTGACATCCCCTAGCTCTTCCTCCTTTCGACTGTACAACAAAATGTTTTAAATTTGAATCATTCCCCTTTCACACATCTTTGTCCGATCTCGTTGAAAAGTCATATCTTGTTGAAGTAAATAAAGATAATATTTCTTGATTCTTATCGAGAGTATTCTTAGACGATTTCAGTTATCTAAGATATAATTAACTATAGGTGTTTGCCTTTATAGAAAGTTTTTAACCCAGCTTAATATAAACCCTATTTAATTCTTCATATTAAATATGAGAACTTGTTGGCAAATAAAATGGTTTCGCAGACCACGCAGACCAAACAGATGTCATATATTTCTTAGTTTATTTCATCAAGCCCCACCCTCAAGTCTTGTGTTTGTGCTTCGGGATAAATACATGATTTGAGGTATAACGCTCTTTCATTTAAACTATGAAAAATATGAGATTAGTTTGATTTCATATATATTTTTTTCTAAATTAAAAAGTCATTCCAAAGCGGGCGACGGGATTTCGATTCCGGTGACCGACAGCTTCTTACGGGCAACCCCCCAAACCAAAATAGTGCCGACACTTTAGTGCCGACAAACCAAAATAGTGCCGACACTTACCCTTTCTAAATTCACACCATTTCATTTCCGAATACAAATACTCATGCACTAACATATAGTGAGGCCCAATTTAACCCTCATTGGAAACAAGCTAATGGAAATGAAATGGACGCACTTCTTATTCTCCATTATAGGGAATTGGTTAAATCCCCATTGAGGTCATACTAATTTCCTATCGATGGGTTTGTTGTTAAGTTCCAAACTAATGATTCCATTAATTGTTTACAAGAACCAATTTTAGTGGCAAAAGAACATAAATCTACAATATTGCTCGTGTTTAGACCTTTTTTTTATTGATTGCTTGTCTCAACTCTAACTCTTTATAATAAAGGGTGCCTATTGTACAAATGGATGCCAATAATGCTTTCCTTTAGAGAAATCCTTACTGAAGAACTAATAAATAACAACCAAGTATTTTTATCGAGGTTTAAAAAAAACATATAAGCTTTAAAAAGTTGTACATGCATAATCAATCTATATAATAAAGCCCACCAGCCTAGTTTGATTGACTGTCCAAAATTATTGTAAACATTGGACTATAAAGTAGTATAATTGATCGCTCTAACTTTACTTAGTATCTTTATCATAACGATTTTAGCCACAAACATTAATAAAATCCTTTAATCAAAGTAATACGCTTAACATCATTGATTTACAAAAATATTCAAAGAATATATTTAACACCATAGATATAAAATATTTGAATTATATTCTTGATGTCAAATTTGCATATAACAAAGTTTTTTTTTTTTCAAAAAAAAATATACTACATATGCTTTTAAATGAAATTGGGCTTCTTACGCATAGATCTGCTAGATTGTGCAGTCATTTAAAGAGAGAGGAAAGCCATTGAGATTCTTCTTGTCATCATCACGTTGTTAGCAAAATTATCTATCTATTACTTTATCTCACATATCATCGGTAATAGTGTCGCCAATCAACTTATATAAAATCCAATGATTATGCACTAGGAGACTATCCTGAGAGATTTAAAACAACAAAATATTCTCTAGAGAAAGGTCTTTTGTATAAAAAACATAATTATTTAAGGATTGAAGCCTTTCCCTGTTGTAGGGTATAATTGCTCAAGGATGAAAAATATACCTATGAATACTTTCTGTCTATGGGTGAAAATGACATGGGGCTCAAGGGGAGGACTAGACGGTCTGATGGGAGGGGGGCCAACCCCCTCCCCCTCCATTCTTTTTTTCATCCATTCCTTTTCTTTTCTTTTTCTTTCATTTTCTCTCTTTCCTTCCCAGGTCCTTCATAATTCTAAAACCTTTCCAAAACCTGAATATGATTTTTATTCTCTTTCCTAATTTCAAATCCTTTCCTCAAATCTGAAATCTGATCTTATTCTTCTTCCTTATCCTAAAAGTCTTTCCTAAACTCTGAAATATGATTTCATTCTCCTTATTTTAGTGTGTTCTCTAATTGGGTCAAGTCTCATTATAATAGGATTTGTGGTGCCTAGAGTTAGGAGTTTCATTTTTACATCATAATTCAGGTCTTATCCTAGAGTTTTCCCTTAAGGGTTGTATCTAACGACGAGGGAAGTGCTCCGGCTATAACCTCCTCTGAGGTGGTGATTATCCATGCCATTGCGACTCCGTCCCGCGCCTCAGTTGACCGTTGTCACCCTTGTATTCCCTCAGCCAACACCTGAACTTCTGTGCCTGCAATTTCCCTGTAGGTCGCCAGCCTCGCCACTCGTCTCCCTGTAGCTTCCTTGCAGGCCGCCGCTCCTTCCAAAAGCCTTCCTTGTAGCCAGCTGCAGTCCGCAGCCATTGCTGCCCACTCTCACCACCTCCCAGCACTCCCCAGCAGGCTGCAGCCCCTGTAGCCCATCCAGACCTCTTCCCTGCCGCTGCCCTGTAGACCGCAACTCCACTTTTCCTTCTTGCTACTCTCAATTGCCGGCTGCAACCCACCTTCGTTCCTCGGCGCCAGCAGCCTTCCGTGCTCCCTGCCCCCGTAGGCATTGTGTCGTCACCTTGCCCCCACAGACCACATTCTTTGCTCCTTGCCCTTGCAGGCATTGTGCCGCATGCTGCCCCAATAGGTCACATCTTCCCTGCCCCCGCATGCCACATCTTCCTTGCCTCCTGTAGGCCACCAACTGCTGCCTCTCCGGATTCCATCCTTCGCCGACGGCTCCGACATCTCCCAGCTACGGTTCACTCCTCTTTGCTGTCCAACTCCCTCATCAACCTTCACCGCCGCTGCCAACCTAGCACCACCTCTCCGGACTTCCTCCTCATTAGCTTGTTGTGTCTTCTTTGTTGAGTCCTTATTTGTGATCATTTGTTTTACACTTTTTGCTTTGTGTGATGTCCTTTTTTTTTATTTTTGAGTCTTCATTGTAATACTATTTTGAGCTAGTAATAAAATTCGTATTTTATATCATGGTTTGGGTTAACTCTAGTATCATAAAGTCTCATGTCATATAAAAGTAAGTAGATGGTTGTTGCTCAGTCAAATGCTCAAGCAAAATACATGGCTAAAACACATTCTGCCTACAAAATGATGCATACAAAAACTAAAGTATTTAGTTCACCTTTCACACTACCCCTAATCCGTAATTGTCATAATCAGACAACTATCTAGATTACAGACAATCATGTCTTCTATGAAAGAACCAAATATATTCAGGTAGTTTGACACTTCACAAGATATGCTCTTTTGTGAAACATGATTGTCACTCTTCAGATATCTAGTGAATAATAATTGACTGACATCCTAATCAATGTTGTGAAAGAACCAAAACTAAATTATTTAGTTCTCCTTTGACACTACCCCTAATCCTTAATTGTGATAATCAAACAACCATCTATATTACAAACAATCATACCTTCTATGAAAGAACCAAACATATTCATGTGGTATGCCACTTCATCAGATATGCTCTTTTGTCAAAGACTATTGTCACTCTCCAGATATCTAGTGAATAATAATTGACTGACATCCTAATCAATGCTGTGAGACCTTCATCCTTAAAACAAATAATCAAGCAAATGTCCATACTACAAGCAATCCAATCTTCCATCAAAGAATCAAATTCATTCAGATAGATTGTCATCCCACCAAAGATGGTAATTTTGGACGATCGCACTTAATGCCTCCAATGAAGATCAACTGCTGATTTTACCAAAACTATGCGAACTATTTATTTTCTCAATATTTGTAAAAAGTTAAAACTTAGTGATATAAACACTACATCTTTAAGGAAAGAGTTATTGCAGAAAATTTACTAGATTGGAATATATTATATCACCAAAGTACTAGATAATAGAGATATTTTTTCATTCCATTATATATACATATACTCTTAATTGAGGATTTCCACCTCTTTCTTTATTCCCAATTTTATCCTGCATACCTATTTATATGCATCCGATTTCAGCCAATGAACCAAAGAAGTTATCTCTTTCTTGAGGTACATAACTTATAGTATGAAAATGCGTAACAACGGCGTTCCTGGCCTAACATTTAAACAATAAATATTCCCATTCTATAAGCTTTAGGTGTATCAAATGCTCCCGGACAAATTTACATTTTACAAGTTTGTTGTCTAATAGCTTGTATCAAAACATACCAGCGGCGTTTCTTGGAGTGAAACATTTTCGGAAGCAAGATCTCCGTTGAGTGAGGCTTCTGCAAGGGCATTGACAGGAGAACACTCTGAGAGTATAGAATTTGAAATTCTTGGTTCTGAAGGAAGGTTTGCACAATCAGCTTGGGGAGTTGAAGGTGTAGTAAGTGATTTTGTGCCGCTAGACTTATCACCATCCGAACTTGTGAGAGCAGTATCACGTCTCTGGAGAAAATTAAATAACATATAGATGATTTAATCATAACGAAAAGAGTAACAAAAAGATAGAATATTAACATATCTGTTATGCAGAATTGAATTTGCCATACAACAATTAACAGATGCATAAAACTGCACAGAAATAACGGGAGCAAGCAATAGCAATTTGGAAGGGTAAAAATGAAATGTGTTCTTTTAATAAAAGTGAGAAAATAACGATAGAAGTGATGCAGTATGAGACATCTACTACATTCATCAGTCATGAGTCATTTTGTTTTCGAATTTAGCCTTTAGATAAGGTTGTCATTCAGTAAATGGTCATTAGTGGCACAACATTAAGTCTCTATTACTTCTTTAGTCATATCTCCTTATGTATCAATTTGTTATTTGCCAGGCATACGAAGCCTGTAAATATCTTAATGTCAATAGCGTTAAAATATCAAAAAAATTATTGCTACTACTATAAATGGTAGGCCATTTGTTGTGATTGCTTTCTTTAAAGATAGCTAATTAATGCATATAAAAATTGCATTTGCATTTGCATTCTCTCTCTTTGTTGATCCTCTTGCCTTCACTTAATCAAATGGTGGCATCTTTATTTTTTTTTTCTCTTTACAACCTGTCCTCTCACTTTGGAGGCATTCATTGCTTTAACCTCCTCAATCTTCTCCTCTTGAACCCCTAGTTCTTCTGACATAAAAAAAAAGCATACTCAAACACAAGGGTGATGTGGAGTGACTCCCACACTGATACAGGACAATGCGGGAGTCGTGTCTCGCGATTCTGGACGATACGGGAGTCATGTGCGGCTTGCACCACTTACCACTTCCTCTTCATGGATTCACTCACAGATTATTCTTTTAATTTTGCTCCCTTGGCAATAATTGTCACATGAGCCCACCCACTTTTTCTCCTTTATCCCTTGATTCGTCTTTTTCTTATTTTATTTAAGTATATCAGAGAATCTAGATTTAATTTCTTTCTCTCTCTTTTTTTTTCTTTTTGGGTTGTCAAACTAGTTTTGGTCTTCATTTGTTGTTTTTTAAACTTTTATGGTATGCTTATTATTGTTTTTTAATTACTTGAGTGATAAATTTTATTGGAGATGAAATCCTTTGCGTAAATCTTTGATACACGTCATCAAGATACGAACAAAATTAGGTACTTATAAATAAGTTAACACAAAGAATAATCCACTTAAATAATTTAAGGATGAACCCAATGATTTACATATTGTATAACAAAAGATTAAAAGACATACATTAGAGGAAGAGAGTTTAGGAGGATGACGATGACCCTTGGTGGCAATGATATGTCATCGGATGATAAATGGTTTATGAGAAAGAAAATGAGTTTCATCATCACAATTACTAGAGAGATTACAATGTTTCCTTTCTTGATGAAATGAGAGAACATTAAAAGTCAACAAGAAAATAATCAAAATGATTAGTAAAAAATTTAATGTAATAGAAATTAGAATTGTCAATATAAAAATTATTTTAAATAATATTTTTATTGAATTTATTGATGAAGAGGCGATTGAGATTGAAGATGAAAGAGAGGATTGAGAGAATGTTGATAAAAATGAGGATAAGGTAGGACTATGATGATGATTCTAATGAAGATTCTTAAGAGATGGGAATGGGATTAATATTTGAATTGAAAATCCTAAATCATAACTAGTTTATTTGAGAACATGCGGTGCAACCAACAAATAAGGTGCAATCGAACCACTTCCCTTAGCTCGCTATCCAAAGGTAGATTAAAAGGCCATCAGAAGGATCCACGAGCCTTAGGTTACACTTAGAGGCAATTATGGTTATGCAAGAAAAATATGATTACTGTGATGTCACACCTTATCATCACTTGCAAGGGAAAATTGGACATCTTACTAAAACTTTTGGGAGTTAATGCATTTGAAACAAAAGCCATGTAGACATCTAAAGATCCTAAATGAATCAAACAGGACTCGCCAAACCATTGTTTTCAATATCATTCACTAATTCTACTGTTGACTTTACCACTACATCGAGTTGTTATTTAACCCTAGTACAAATTAATATGGTCCATAAATTGGGTCAGTTAGGCAAATAGCCTAATTTGGCATCCAATCTTCTCAGAACCTAGCCAATGGTGGAAGATGATCACCAAGCCTTTGGTCCACAATTTCAAGCACAATTCAATATACAATATACAACTCTAATAAATCCAAAATGTACAATAGATAAATTAAAATTGTTCATTAAACCATCATTGTTAATCTAAGCTTAATAGCCCATCAAGCCTGTTATTGAATTAAATTTTTGGTTGTTGGATTTTGATCAAATGACTCATCTTCTACTTGCTCGTTCTATGTTGGCATTAGGCTAAGCATCAATATGGCCTTATCACCCAATGCAACACCACAACTCATCTAGACTAGCCTACGGTGGTGACTATCAATCCTTCATATAGACCAAACGATATATTTTTTCATAGTCCAATCTGCTACCGAAGGCTAAGATGGAGGACATGCACCTTAAGTTATTAAACAAATAATCATAAATAAAAAAGAATTTAAAATTTCATACAACATATATACAATTGATGGAAAAGTTATGAAATTGCTCAAGTGGCCTCTTGAATTTGATCCTAGCCAAGAACCCTCTATAGTTCTAAAATGGTTTAAATTACATGGTCTAAAGTTGCACCACTTTAATCACCAAGTCATCTATTCTATTGGAGCTGCATTAGGAAACCTATGAAATTTGACATACCCACCTTTAACCTATCTAGGTCTTCGGTTGCAAGGATTCTTGTTGAAAGGGATATCACCCTCCCTGATATGGAAGAAATATGACTTGGTATTGCCTACAATGGGTATTGACAACAAATTGTCGCAGAACAAAGATCCTATTACTGTAATCACTGTAAATTGATTGTGCACACACCTGCCAAATGTTTCAGGCTTCATCCTGTTGACCTCATTTTTGTGAGGTCTTTTCTTCTCCTCCTTAGAGTCTAGGTTCTAGCTCTAGAAATCCCTATGGACCATCTTAGAAAACTAGAATTGAGACTCACCCTTCTAGAAGCTCCAGCCGATTCCTATTTTCCTTTGATGTCTAGCATCTTTGGCACAAGACCATCGTTTTATGAACGAGCGGTTATGGGCTATTTTGCAAAGATTCAAGGAAGATGATCCAAATAGGACTTCAAGCCTCAGGGAAAACATCGTCACGACCACTTTCGTCACATACACACATCAAATACACGAAATTCACGAAACTGCACGAAATCAGACTTCAATTAAGCCCAAAGGACGGGTGAAAATGCGAACTTCTCCGGATGACCTCCGT